TAACTTTCCTACGCTAAAAAAATAAATACTCTTAAAAACATTTTACTAAATTTTGACTAAACTGAGCATGAATCTTCACACAATATATTTTAACATTCACATTTTTTTTTTCTTTTTCTTCGCACTTTTTTCACATCAAATGTACACGTTTCTCCATTCCTATGATAGTCCGTCAAGCGTTCGATTTTTCCATGCAAAATTCAAACCTTAATTATCTTAATTACGTGTAATAAACAATTTTACTAAAATTCCTACAATATAATTCTGTTACAATTAATAAAGATAGCTTTAAAGATAGCTTTAAAAATAGAAAATTATTTATAAAAATAATTCGTTTGAAAATTGTCAACAAGAGTGACATTGATCATATATATATTATTGATAGACTTTTCAATTTTCATGATAATTTCTTTTTTTTTTTATATTTTCTTTTTTTTTTTCACAGATTTTATATTGATCCAGCTCTCTCGCTTTTGTTAGTTATTCTTATCTTACGTTCAGTATGGCCATTATTGCAAGAATCTGCATTAATTTTACTACAGACTGTACCAACACATATCCAGGTAATTTCAGTCATTTGAAATAATATAATAAATTATTATTATTATATATATTTATTATTATATATATATATATATTCTTTATATGCAACATATTATTTGAAATATCATATATATTTTTTCATATTCATATTTTTATATATTTTTCATATTTTGATTTTTATATTTTAAATATATTATTTGTATAAATAATATTAATCAACAATTAAAATATTTTATTTTAGGTTGATGCCATTCAACAACGTTTGCTGGAAAATGTTGATGGAGTTTTGGCTGTGCATGAATTTCATGTATGGCAATTAGCTGGTGACCGTATTATTGCTTCAGCTCATATAAGATGCAGAAATTTATCAGAATACATGAAAATTGCAGAACAAGTAAAAGAATTTTTTCATAATGAAGGTATACATTCTACAACAATTCAACCAGAATTTATTGATGTAAGTAAATTATATCAATAAAATGTTGATAGATTTGATAATATCATTTAAATAAAAAAATAATATACTGTTTCCATTAATAACTTCTTAGAGATTTTTTTTCCTAAATTTTTTCTCTCTATTATGAGAAATTAAAATATTTAATTAAAAAAAATTGTCTATATTTTGAAGAAAATATTTTGCAAAAATTTTATATGAAATATTATTTATATAATGTATATCTTATATATTTTATATAACATTGTCATATAATAATATGTTAATTCCATATTATTAATGTTCTAGTACCATTCTAATAGTGAAGTTAAAGAAACACCAACTGAAGATTGTGTATTGGATTGTCCAAAGACTGACAAACCTTGTAATCATGCAACATGCTGTGGTCCTTCTAAACAGGTATATATTTTATATTTAAATAGATGTAGTTTGATTGAGTTAAAATTTGCCCCTTCGCTCCTGCAGTCTAATTGGAACACAGATACAAATTCTACCTATTCTGCCTGTCCTAAATCAAAGTGTCTTGGACGATGTTTAGAAGCTATTAAATCAGATTCAAATACAGTTATAGGTAACTGTTATTTGTTGTTTATATTTCATTGTTTCAATTCTATTCTACAGTAAATATTATACAATCAGCTCTTTATAATAAATTATTAAATCGTTTCTTATTGAAATTGAGCAAAGACATTTTGAAAGCATAATAATATAAAATGTAAAAACATTCATAAATATTTAAAGATAATTTTTTTTTTATAAAATCAAACTTATTATTAGTATTTTTTTTTTTTTTCTTTTATAATTCTTTCTTTATCTGCTTCTATTTGTCATCCGAGAATTTAGCATCTATTTGTAACAATAAGAAATGAGTTAATATATATTTTAATTTATAATTAAATGTTACAAAAAAAACGTAATTTTTTTCTTTATCAAAAGGATATAATTTTTTTACATATTCTCTATATTGCAAGTTATATTTGCGCATAGTTATTTCTGATAATTAATATTCAAACGAAAAATTATTTCCTTTTAATTTAACAATCCAAATATTTTTATATCTCTTTCAATTTAATTCTTTTTCAATTTGTTTAGTTTATTATAATACATGTCTAAATTAATTATTAATACATTATTCTCTTATACATATAATTTCAAAGTAATTATTTAAAAAATATATATATATTTTTATAAAAAAAAATATATAGCCCATTTTCTTCATAACATTTTTTTTGTGCAAATTCAATATCATCTTTATTAATATTTTTTATAAAATACATGATTTTTTTTTATACTCATAAAAAATAGAAATACTCATTGCTCATTGATTAGAAATAGTGAAAGCAAATTAATAAATAAATAAAAAAGAAATTAAAAAAATAATTCAAATATTGATTAATAAAGTTTTATATACAAATACTTGCAAAATTGAAATTTTTTTAAAAACAATAATTAATGTAAAAAGTTTCAATTTGAATATTGCATTTTTTTATAAATTTATAAAAACTTTATAATATGAAATATTTACTTTAATAAAAATATAATATTTGCAATAATTGATTATATTGTATTATAAATAGATATATTAAATAGATTATATTAAAATAGATGGATATTATTTATATCATTCAAGAAATAAAAAATATTTTTGTCTATTGATATTTTTGCTACATATATATATTGACATTTATGTTATATAAAAGTGATATAATTATAATATATATTATTTTAGTGATGAAAATATATTATCTCTTTTTTATTCTATTTATTTACAGATTGTATACATTAAAAAATTTTTTCTATGAGATATTAATGAAACTAAATTCAAAAATTAACAATATTATATAAGATGATACTAAATGAATTATATATATATTTCTATTTTATTTCCGATAGTTCTAAGTTTAGAAAATATTATTCTTTTTGATTGTAAGAAATTTTTATTCTGTATTTTTTTTTGTTGAATCTATCTTATCCTATGTTCTATCTCTATCCAATATGAACATTTTTGAAAAATATAAAAATATAAATTCAAATATATGTTAACAATAATTCAACAGACATCTTAATTTTTACAAACAAATATTAATTTTATATATGTTCTAATTAAACATTTTAATCCTTAAATTAAACATTATATATAATAATGTTTTTTAAACAAATTTATCATATATGTATATGTACATTTTACAGGGTCGTGAAACGCCTTCACCAGGAGAAACACCATACATGTGTAGACAACGTAACAGTCTTGCACGTTCCACTGGTTCTATAGGAGGAACCGAACAACAAGAAGTAAATGAAATGGAACGTGGACATTTACTATCACTGCCTGCTTCACATCACTCCGTCCAACTTCCACATTCTCATGTTAATACACCTGTTGTCTAAGTTATAATCGTATTATCAAATATCTACCTCTGTAACACAATCTGCGGCGCGTTACAATGTTATTATAAAAATTCAATAAAGTAATATACACGCTATATTTTATGATTATTAAAGTTAATAAAAAATTTTAATTGCTTTTTATTATCTATGTCATTAATATCCTAAATTTTATAAATTTTGAAGTTTTAAACTCTATTCAAAATAATAAAATATTCTATTCAAAAATAATATAATAATTTTAAAAGGAAGTATTTCATTTTTTACTATTATTAATTATATTTGAGTTTATTTTTATTTCCTACTTATAATAAATATATATATAATTATTTATAATTGATAATATATTGAAATAATTAAAATCTTCATTAGAAACACAATAATAATGTGTAAAACATATATAACATAAAGAAAATAATAAAAAAAATAGTAACATCATTTTTACAGATCATTTTACAATATCAATGTTTACAAATGAAATTCAATATACAAAATCGAAAAATAGAAGAATAAAAATAAAATAAGAATTAATCGTCAGCGCCATCTTTTGAATATCAAAGATAAAATCTTTTTACTATCATTTTAAAAAATATTCAAAAGATGGCATTATTTCTAAATTTTTCTTTTATCTTGCTTTAAAATATCAAAAAATATTTTTCATATATGGAAGATAATGCTGATGGTCAATCTTATCATATCTTTATCTTTCTTTCTTATCCTTTCTTTATATGTTTCATTTGCGGCATTCTATAGATAGCGCTGATTTCAATATTTTTATTCTATTTTTGTCCTTCTTTTATTATTTGTTTTTTTCTTGTTTATATTTATTCTTATTAGTGTGTGATCACCAGAGAAAGTACGTGATATTTTTTTCATTTCTTTAAAAAAAAAAATATTTTTTTGTTTATTCCTATTATTTAATATTGAATATATTTCTTATTTAGGTTAACAAAGATTATAATTTGTTATATATTAATATAATACATATATAATATTTGCTATTTTTTAAATCACTGATTAAAATTTATTATTTTTTCAAAAATATATGACAAATTTAAACACTTTTAAAAAAGATAGTTATTTTTTAATATTAAAAAGTATTAAAAAAATTAAACAAAACTTCGGAATTATGATAATTTAAAGGTAATTTTAGTGAAAAAAAAAAATTATAAACACAGTATGTATTTTTATATATATATTTATATTTATATATCATATTTTCTTGAATTGAATATTTATACACATAAAATAACATTAAACACAAAAAATAAATATTTATACACATTAAAAATAAGAATAAATAAAAAAAAAATATAATATATTTATTCTACTAAAAATTATATTTTTATTTTTTCTATACTTTATTTTATGTTTATTTTTAATTAATTAATTTATTATTATTATTATTATTATTATTATTATTATTGTTGTTGTTGTTGTTGTTGTTGTTGTTGTAAGATTAAAATAGGATAATTATTTTTTAAATATAATTTTTTAAATATTTTTAATATATATATATTTTTACAACACTTTTATTTAAAAAAAGATAATTATGTATTAAAGAGTTTTTGTATATAATATTGTATGATACATATTTGATTATATAGCTCCTAATCTATGACGTTTATAAATTATCTTATAAGAAGGTTATTTGAAAGTCAATGATTTTTATATATAAGTTTTTCTTGAAACATATGAAGTTATAAAGTAGAAAGTAATATAATTTTTTATTCATCTTTTAAGCATTGTAAGTTACAATTTATTTAAATTAATTTTATTAATTTATTTAAATATAGTTAATAACTTCTTTAATTTATTTTTAT